TATCGTTAGAACTGACGAGGGTCAACCCAGACCGAAATATATTTTCAATAAATGTGGAACCAACATCTACTTTTTTACTCTACAGAGGTTTGGCCCATCACCATCACCGAGTTTTTAGAAAATTTCGTTTTCCTTGTTACATTTGACACTTGTGACGTTGTGTATAATTATTCCATTTCTCTGATGTAAATACGACATGAAATTCTGTAAATAAGACAATTTCAAGGTTATATAAAGTTTTATACCTAGAGAATAGTTTTTTTGGGTCTTCTTGAGGATTTTGCAAAGAATTTCGCAAACAATTGCATATAATCTTAAATGTAGAAAAATAGATGGTTTTTTTAGACATTCTATGAATTTATTAACATTTCAGGATCTCTGGATTTCAAGAAAGCAAACTAATAAATCAACAAAATATTTTAATTCATAAAATACAGCAAAACATGATACCTGCAACAAAACAGTTTCGAATAAAACTCTGCAATACATAATGAATATTTTAGATTTTTATAAATTGATAAAAAAAATAAAAGACAAAAGTAACTAGAAACATCTTTTTTTTAATAAAACTTAAAATTAATAAAGAAAAATATTGTCGAAATAATTGTTGGAATGTCAAGCTAAAATTTTTTTATTTAGATTTCTGTGTCAGTATGATCTTCAATGGTATCCGTTCGACATTCAAAACTGTCAACTGCAGCTGACCATGTTCGGCAAATCAGGGGATTTTGCTACCCTTGGTATGCGAATTGTTAAATAAACAAAAATAAGATATGGTATGAAGAATGCAATGCAAGAATTGTTTTATTTTCAGAGGCAGAAATAATAAATTTCTTCGGGAAGAAGTCTATAAAGGAGTTTGTTGTTGAGAGTTACTCAATGAAAATTTCAGAGAATAATGGACAAACGACGCTTAAGGAAATTTGTTTCACAAAAATGTTTCAAACGATTGTTTTGAAAATATATGTTAAAGTGAGTTATCATCTATAGCACGGCACTGGTAAAGATTACTTAAAAATTGCAATGTTTAAAAAGGTTTGGATTGAAATAGGGTTTTCAATTTTTTCTCCAGATCAATTTGTTAATGTTTTACTATCTTTCTTAGAGCTATAAATAATGTAAAACTTTTAAATAATATGATTACGAAATGCTAACTCTGAACGGAATTGATCCAGAAAAATTGTGGATGGAAAATATGAAAATCCCAATACTTGTACTTACTGTATTCACATGTAAGTTACGTTTTAAAATCTGAATATTTCAGTGTAACAAACTTTAAAAAGACTTAAAAAAGACTTAAACAGACTTCAAAAAGACTTTAGAAACAACGACTGCAAACTTTTTGCACTTTAACTCATCAGATTCTTTTTATAATTTCTTATTTTAGCGTTAAATTACAACAAATCATTTAATGGAATGAAACAAATTTTAAGATGAATATCATATTGGGACGAAATCTACTACCCATTGCTTTAAACACCTACCTTCCTTCAATCCTGCTTATCATTATCAGCTATGTAACAATTTTCTTCAAACCATTCTTTTTTGAAGCAATTGTTACTGTTAATCTTACTACCTTGCTGGTCCTAGTTACTCTCTTTGTCAGCGTAAGTTATTTGTAAAGATAAGATAAGATAAGATAAAATAAGATGAGATGAGATGAGATGAGATGAGATGAGATGAGATGAGATGAGATGAGATGAGATGAGATGAGATGAGATGAGATGAGATGAGATGAGATGAGTATGAGTTAAGATGAGTTAAGATGAGTTAAGATGAGTTAAGATGAGTTAAGATGAGTTAAGATGAGTTAAGATGAGTTAAGATGAGTTAAGATGAGATAAGATAAAAAATAAAAAACGAAAGTTGTTTGATCATTTTTTGGAACGGTTAACAACCCTTTATTCAGGTGAGTAGCAGTCTGCCCCCAACCTCGTACATGAAGATGGTGGACATATATCTAATCTTCTGTTTAATCATACCTTTTGCTGAAGTTCTTCTCATCACTTACATGGATTATCTGAGAATGTAAGATTCATGATATTTTTGTGTGTAAAAACAATTTAGGATATTCATTTTTAAACCTGAATTAACGAAAGGCTAAACATATTTTATAGTTTTGAATTAACACCTTTCAGTAACCACCAGGGTGTCTCAATAAACATGGGAATTAAGAGTTTAAAAACTTCCAAGAGTGTATAAAAATAAAGATTGGTTCTATAAAGCTTTTTTGCATTTTCAAAATTCACAGAGATATAAAACATTTAAACGAATTTGTTGTTGTGTTATAAATTTGAATCTGGAAAGATTTCTTAATATCTACATTAATTGCGAAAACACAAAGATAGTAAACTACATTTGGGAATTTTAGGAGTTTTAATCATGAAATGTTTTTAACGGGGATACTACTAAAATTGTGTTCATTATAAAATACCGCGTATAAGTTCGGTTAAACTAGACAATATAGATTTCGTCACTTAATTACCATATTTATTGGGACACCCTATACATAGGTTTGTTTAAAGGTATTGTTTTCAGTTATCATCAATGTTTATAAATTTGTATTTATCCTTTACTTAACTTTTGACCTACTTGTTTAAGGTTCCCAAGCACCCTCTGAAAAAAAGTTGCCCTCTGAGGAAACTTGCAGGGCTCTAATTCATTTTGTCTGGGATATTTTTTTGATTAAGATATTTATTTTAATGTTAGGTCTACTGAATCTCACCCGCATCAAGAATCTGAAAACGAAGAGAAGGTAAATTTTGTTTATCGAAACTGCGCAGTTGCTCATCAAAAACGTATATAAAAAACCGGAGATAAAATAACCGACCTACTATTTTTTTTAAATAACCGAAATCAATATGCATTTTTTGAAATTGAATGTGTAAATAGGAGGCGGATGATCAAAGTGGTGTGTGATATATGCATGTACGATAATCGGCTTAAAAATGAAAATGTAAAACTGAAACTGAACTGAAAACCTAAGCCTTAGAATTGTATCTGTACACCACCTAAAAGCTTAGATTACCTTTTTAAAACTCAATTTAACTTTTTGGTTTTAATGTTAACGTTTCTTTAAAAAGAAGTCTGAGCAAATAACTTCCTTTTCCATCTCCAAAAATTTTCAAATTAGCACTTGAAACAGAAATCTCAAACACCAATCTTTAATTTCAAATTAGCACTTGAAACAGATATCTCAAATAGCAGTCCTTAACTTCAAATTAACACTTGAAACAGAAATCTCAAACAGCAATTCTTAACTTCAAATTAGCACTTGAAACAGAAATCTCAAATAGCAATCCTTAACTTCAAATTAGCACTTGAAACCGAAATCTCAAACAGCAATGACTGTAATTTCAAATTAGCACTTGAAACCGAAATCGCAATCAGCAATGTCCGTAATTTCAAATGCCACTTTAAAAAATGTTAATTTACTTTTAAAACAATGTGTTTTCAGACCCAACGGACCATTAACCACCATGGACACGTAATTAAAGTTAACGATGATGATCATGATGTTACTGCTGCCAGCCCTGAACCCCTGTTTGGTAAGAATTCTTGACACAATTGTCACACTCAATTATTGTTTGAACTCAGTTTGGTTAACCCTCAATCTAAAGAGGGATATCATCCGTCCCCTTTAACCCTAAACAGGCTGGGGCTGGGCGTTTGGCGCCCCCCGTTGTAGTTTATTTTTGTCCTAGCACTCTCATTTTTGACACTATCACCGTGAAATTTTGTGACTTTTAATGAAAAGTAATTCAAAGGATTTTTTGTTAAAAAAAAATCTTTTTTCATTTATCGGTAGGGTACAGGGCGGAAAAAAGTCTGGTCTGGGAAAAAATAATCTAAAATAGCCCCTAACTTTTTTGTGACTAAGCTCCAGATCTAAAAACTCTATTTTTGAAAGGCCCTTGATAATGCATGTAGAAATATGTGTCACAAAATATTTTTTTCTCACTTTTTTGACCCTTTTTTAGGCCTTTTTTTCAACCCTCCCTAGCACCCAAACTGTTAAAGTTATCGGTCTAATTTTTTTCTTTGAGCTGGTCATGAAAAAATGCAATGAACATGCATTCCAACCCTATACCTATTCTCTAAGGCCTTTTTCTAGGGGGGGGGGGGCGCCAAACGCCCCCCAGGCTTTACATAGAATCAGACCCTCCAGCCTTTATATGGCTAATCCTCATGTATGAGAACTGGGCCCAATTTAAATTACGAAATCAAAAAATCCCTATTCACTAATCTGGCATCAAAATTTGGATGGCTGTCTAATAAGCTTATTTTCAACAAAAAAACCGCTCATTTGGCAGTAATTAAACATTTGTTGCCAAATAATAAATAAACAATAAATAATTGTTTGAAGCCCTGACCTTCAATCAGTTGTTAAGTCAGACATTCCTGGATAAGCAACAAAAATGAAAACTACAAATACATCTGATATCTACTATACTAAACTTCTGACCTACTCATCATCAGCTATTCTACACTTCCGACCTACTCGCACAACAACAAAAATACTGGTTTTGACAAAAATAATTATTTTCTTTCAAAATGAATTTTCTGTATAAGATTAAAAATTCAAAATTAATAAATTGTTAAAAAAAACATTTGCTGCGGAACAAGCGATTTTTGTAGAATTTAATCGATTTTTTAATTCATACTTTAGAGTGCATATTATTTAAGAGAGAAAATTCTTTCAAAGTTCGAGGATTTTTATATCTAATAATGCAATTAACAATGAACAAATTCTGAGCTAAAAATTTTAAAATTTCTGAGTCCATCTTGGTGTTTTAGTGAGAAGAAATGATGTACCAAGATCTGTTGGAGATATTCTCAGGAAATTTAGAAAGGTAAATCCCTTGAATCTCATTGAACGCAATGAACAGGTAAAATGTTTGAAAGGAAAGTGATGCACAAATAATTAAGACAGAGCTAATTTTCAAGCGTCGCCAGGCCTTTAACATCGAATTTTACCAAACAATCGAGTATTGGGTATAGAAGATAAAAACAACAATTGTTTGTCTCTTGTTTCAGTATTGTTGCAGTATTTGGTAAAATTCTGAAATATGTTTTAAAAAAGGATAAAGAATTATTATAAGTTAATCTATTTTAAGCCGATAATCAAGAATATATTTTATGTACAGATGAGATTGTATACCAGGGGTAGTTTTTAAATTTATAATATTATTTATAGCAATAGTTACTCCCATCGTTTACCCCAGCTTGGCATAGATAAATAGTTTTATCTTAAGTGCCTGGCGTGCACGTCGTATTTTTTTTATTTTTTTTTATTTAGATTGAAGTAGAAACCCTAGGATCCCTGTATTCCCACGCTAGAAAGAAGGGAACCCTCATAACCTACTGTAAAAGGTTTGCAGTGTACGGGATACCGGTTCTCATCATCATGTTCCTAGCTCCGTACATCATCGTTGGTAGGTTTACAAACACTGTTATTGCATATCTATAATGAAATTTACCATGACGTGTCACATGACCATGAGTGAAAGATAAAACAATAGATTCATAATTATAGTTACAAGAAACCTTTACGTAAGTTGTAACACTTTTCTTCTGTACGTGAATCCTTAAGGGGTCTGTAGATGTTATTTCTAGCGACCCTCATTTCATAGGGGGGGAGTGTACCCGATACTCAATAGTACCCTTTCAGACTAAGGGCGAAAGGCCCTCGATCCCAATTTGTCTAAGAAAAATGATTGAAATTCTTTCTTCTTTAGATGGTTTAATTCGCTTGCGGTTTTGTTGCTGCAAAAATGTTGGGGAAATTAAATACTTTCCGGTCTATAAATACATTTATCAGATACAGGGATTAAAGGTTATATTTAGGGTTTCCAACGTAATAGATTATTCTCTTACGCGTAATTACGTGCAGTTACGCGTAATAATTTTCATTTCGTGTAATTTCGCAGGATTATGCGTAATTGGGGAAATATTCATTTCGCGAAATTACGGCGTAATTTCGCGTAATTTCTACAACGTAATTTCGCGAAATTTCGTAATGATTATGCGTAATAATGAAAACTATAATTACGCGTAATTTAACGTAATATATGCGTAATTACGCGTAATGCTCCTGCGTAAGTGAAAGAAAGTGTTACGTTTCGTTACGCGTAATTACGCGTAACGAAATTACGACTGGAAACCCTATAACGTTGAGATCAGGTAAAGCCCTCTTAAAGTTGAGGGTATGTAGGGTTTCCACCGAACGAAAACTTTTGCGAAAAAATACAAAAATTTTCGTTCGTATTTTGCAAACTTTTTCAAGAAATTTCGATTTTTTTGGCAAAAATGAATTTAGCGAAAAAATGCGAAATGATACGAAATTTCCTGACTAAAGTTTTCACGGAAAATAATTTTGCGAATAGTAATTTTGCGAAAAATAATAATATCAAAAAATCAAAAGTATTGTAGCTGCAACAATTAATTGTGCAAAAAAAAAGAGTGGAATACTCTGTTCTGTGAGCTCAGCATTAGAAGTTTTATTTTATCATAATTAATAAGTTCTTATTCTTTACTTTAATAAATGATTGATAAAAAATTTGCAAAAATTCTGTATTTTTTTCACGAAAATTTGGATATTTTTTCGCGAAATTTTGGTATTTTTCGCGAAAAATTCGAAATTTCTGCGAAATGATTTCTCTTTTTTGCTGGACACCCTATACTTATGAGTGCATATTTAAAAGTGCGTTCTCAATTCTGCGTCGACATTATAGTGTTATTTTTTGCGATATCATGATAAAATCTGAAAGAATATGGTTTTCAAATGGGTTACTCCTTACTTCTAATAAAGTTGAGCCTTTAAAGAAGCTTTCATGCACATTATAAACTGAAATGGGACCGGGTAAACAAAACTAAATTGCATCGTTAAAGTTAGAACCCTCTAATTGTAAATGTGTACCTCTATCATTACCCAACTACAGTGGTAGGCGATTATATCAATAGAATGAAGACGAGTTTTGTATTTAAGTTTTGATTGTTAACGATCTTTTTTCGAATTACAAGTTTAAAAGTAATCAAAAAGAAACTTTTTAATCGAAAGCTTCACTTTACTTCTATGTTTATGTGTATCCATTCCATACTACATTAAAAGCTTGATGTAAATCAAAATTTAAATCGAAAGTTGTCTTCATTATATTGATATATTTTATATATCCAGTTTTCAACAATACATTTATTAAAACTGTTTTAGGGTTTCTTCACGTAAACCAAGCAAGAAAAGAAGCTGAACAACGGAACTAAAGTATCTACATGTCTAACCCAGAACTTCGGAGACACCGAAAGAACTTATAAAATGTTTTTTTCTGAACCTACTGATATTCTGATAATTTTGAACGCTGTAGATATTTATTTTCTTTAAGTTTAATAATCATTTGGAACTCTTTAAAACTGCCCCCAAATATTTCATGGCTATTTATTTGTTTTTATAAATTCATTGGGAAGACGACATTTCATAAGTTCTTTCGATGGCTCCAAGGTTATGGGTTAAACTGTACTATAAAGGTGTAAACTGTTCCATTTAATCATAATTCATTTGATCTATTTAATATTCATTATTATAGATTTACGTCTTTTTATTAGGGATAAATCTTTCTCGGAACTTTTCTATTCGATACCTAAATAGCTTGATCTCGATATTCACGGTGGGCACTTTCTAATTTTACGCAAAATCTGTTTGATCTTCTCTAGATTCATCCACAATTTCTTTTTTCTCTCATTTGTTGAGTTCAACATTCTTGGCTTCTAATTGGCTGTTGGGGTTCCACAGACGATACTCATGAAACACCTCATTTAACTCTAAAAACATCTCATAAAAATTTAAAAACAGATCAACACTTTAACAACAGCTCATTAATTTGGTGTACACAAATTTTCATTAAATTTTGCTAATCTAATAACTTGCTTATGCAGATCCATGTTACAGCAGACCTTTCCTAAAGGAATGTCTGTTAATAAAAGAAAAAATCGATTCATTTGCTTAATTTTTCTGAGAGAAGAGAAAACAATTAAAAATTGTAATTCTCAATAAATAAATCATAAATTAAACATAAATCTAGTCTTAAAACTTGGGGTTATTTAAAATCAAAGATGAATTTAATCCCTTTAAATCATTAAATCATAAATTAAATGTATTTAATATTTAATCTTAGAATTAAGGGTTATTTTAAATATAAGATGAACTTTATATCCTCTGAATGTATAAATTATAAATTAAATGTCATTAATATTTAATCTTAGAATTAAGGGTTATTTTAAATATAAGATGAATTTTATCACCTCTCAATGTATAAATTATAAATTAAATGTAATTAATATTTAATCTTAGAATTAAGGGACATTTTAAATATAAGATGAATTTTATCACCTCTCAATGTATAAATCATAAATTAAATGTATTTAATATTTAATCTTAGAATTAAGGGTCATGTTAATTAAAAAATGAATTTTATCACTTCTTAATGTTTAAATTATAAATAAATGTAATTAATATTTAATCTTAGAATTAAGGGTCATGTTAATTAAAAAATGAATTTTATCACTTCTTAATGTTTAAATTATAAATAAATGTAATTAATATTTAATCTTAGAATTAAGGGTCATGTTAATTAAAAAATTAATTTTATTACTTCTTAATGTATTAATCATAAATTAAATGTATCTATATCAATTTCAAGATCTTCAATTCTTGGATTTATGGATATTCAAGAAATGTTTCATTGTAATCAATTAAATATTTACTGTTATCAAAATGTTATTTTGTGTAGTTTACTAAATATAAAAATGGAACTTTTTACACCTAAGAATTGGGAATTAAGTGTAAAATAAATGTAAATGTATTTAATCCAGCAATAAAGAAGATCTATTAAAAACATTTTTGATGCAGTGAGAATTAGAAATCTTTGGAATAGAAAGACGACATAGTTTTATTTGTAGCTTGAACATCATCTTTGAAAGTGGAATGATCCGTTCTGTGCACACTTTGTATTATGTTCATAGGACTATTTTGAATCATAACTTGAGTCTTAACTATGTCTTCCTATTCCACAGTTTTTTGCTTCTCACTGTAAAGTGTATAAGACCAGGAAAACAATAGACAATTGAAAGATTTAAAATATGTTTTGATTTGAATTTGTTGGTCAGATTTCACCAGTTCTTTAAAAATGACACTTAGGCATCTGGCCTAGAAATAAAAAAAAACACCTACAATTCTCGATAGCCAGTGGCGCAACCAGGGGGGGACGAGTTTTTGCCCCCCTCCCCTCAGCAAAAATGCCGGAAACAATCATGAAATTAACCTGTAGATGGGAGCAAAAATGCCGGAAATAAACATAAAATTAATCTGTAGGTGGGAGCAAAAATGTCGGAAATAAACATGAAATTTACCTGTAGGTGGGAGCCAAAATGCCGGAAATAAACATGAAATTTACCTGTAGGTGGGAGCCAAAATACCGGAAATAAACATGAAATTTACCTGTATGTTGGAGCAAAAATGCCGGAAATAAACATGAAATTAACCTGTAGGTGGGAGCCAAAATGCCGGAAATAAACATGAAATTTACCTGTAGGTGGGAGCCAAAATACCGGAAATAAACATGAAATTAACCTGTAGGTGGGAGCCAAAATGCCGGAAATAAACATGAAATTTACCTGTAGGTGGGAGCCAAAATGCCGGAAATAAACATGAAATTTACCTGTAGGTGGGAGCAAAAATGCCGGAAATAAACATGAAATTAACCTGTAGATGGGAGCCAAAATACCGGAAATAAACATGAAATTTACCTGTAGGTGGGAGCCAAAATGCCGGAAATAAATGGTAAAATGGAAGACAATCGTTCAAACTAATTCCGAGAAACACATTTTTTATTTATGATTTTGAAAAAAGAAGTTTTTGATCAAATTTTTCAAATTAATAAACTAAAGTAAAAAACAGTTACTTATTGTAAAATAATAATATTTTAACATATAAAGATGCTGTATTTTTCGACCTACGCTCATCAGCTATACTACACTTCGAACCTACTCGCAAGTGGTGTACAGTTGCCATTTTGACATGTGGCTGCAGCACCCAGCCCTATAGCCTGTCCTATCTTGTCCTAGTCGCAGCGCTCACCCAAGAAATTGTCTTAACCCGACGTAACCTTATGATATCTTAAATATATACTAAAAAACGCTGTCATAGGTCAGATATTGTAGTAGGTTGGAAAGTTAGTAGGTGAACAGTTCGGCAGTTGGAATTTTGCGTATAGACGATATAATACTACCAAAATGAGAAGTTCCCACTTCCCGTGTGTTTATGTTTAAAATGATAACATTTAGAGTTATGACGTTCCAAAATGTCGTCTTTACAAAAATCTTAATTTTTTTTATATTCAAAATAACTATTTCGATTTCTTTTAAATTTGAGAGTCTTTACTCTTCATATTTTCAAAGAAGATAAAAATGGCCAAGAATATGTGAATTTTAAATCCTAAATCTACTCTTTAGCTCTAAAATAACGTCTCCTCCATTTTATCAAATGTCGTATTTGTAGAAATGATATTTAAGTTCTAAAACATTTTTACTGTAGTAAAGTCAAGGATATTGACGCTCTTAAAATAGATTTCAGGTTTTTTGGTGATATTTTTTACAGGTTTTGTAAATACTCTTTTTGTCTTTATTTAATGCTATTTCCTTTTTGTTTAATGGTTCGAACAATTTTAAAATTTAATTTTCAACATTCCTATAGGCTTGTTATGTTCAATACCAGTTTAGGTACTTCACTAGATAACACTAATAGGTATCCACGAGAAAAAAATTCTTTTGTGAACCTAATTTTCATTATTTTGATTCTAAACTTGTTTTTTTAAGATTTTAATCGAAACAATGAGATACAATCCTCATTATTTGTCCATAAAATGCCTGATAAATCATGAATTTTGGCTGAAATATCAATAAGAATTGTGTATTTTAATCTCTGAAACAAGTTTTGCTGTTTTTGCGGAATTTTGGTTATTTTTTGTTGATTTAAACGCCTCGTTTAACTCTCCCAACTGAGGTTGCTGGTTTATGACGTCAGAGCTGCACTCACCAAACCTATCTAGGCCTATCCTTTGCATTGCAGTTTTAAAATGCACTTTTCTTATTTTCTGCGTGCACTCCCTAGACAAGGATACTGATTAGTTCACGCAGACTCATTGCTGTGCAAGGTGGCCATTTTTGGAGAGTTTGAAAAAATTGATTTAGTTATGCTTGAACCTAAAAAAGTGTATAAGAGTGACAGGGTGTTTGCTACCAACATTGTAGAAAAATAGAGTAATTTAGTAGACTGTAAGTTTTTGTAAAATTTTATACATTATAGACTATTGAGATGGTAAATATTAAGAAATAGACCTTGAAAACTAAATATCTAACAAAATTTCAAAACCATTAAAATATTTATTCAAAACATAGGTTTTCAAAGCAAAAATTTAATGTCGTCATGATTTACAAAATCAAGAGTTTCAATATCATCTTTAATCATTTTGCTCCCCCCTCCCGCCTCTTCTACCCTCAATGGTTCATACCCCCATTTTGAGCCATTCTTAAATTTAAGCACTGTACTCACAGCAATCAAATACAAGACAATTTTAGATCAAAGATATAAATATATAAGACCCTTTTAGATCAAAGATATAAATACAAGACACTTTTAGATCAAATAGATAAATACAAGACACTTCTAGATCAAAGATATAAATACAAGACAATTTTAGATCAAAGGTATAAATAAAAGACAGTTTTGGATCAAAGATATAAATAAAAGACAATTTTAGATCAAAGATATAAATAAAAGACAATTTTGTATCAAAGATATAAATGAAAGACAATTTTGGATCAAAGATATAAATAAAAGACAATTTTAGATTAAATAATAAATACAACAATTTTAGATCAAAGATATAAATTCAAGGCAATTTTAGATCAAAGATATAAATACAAGGCAATTTTAGATCAAAGATATAAATACAAGACAATTTTAGATCAAAGATATAAATACAAGACAATTTTAGATTAAAGATATAAATACAAGACAATTTTAGATCAAAGATATAAATACAAGACAATTTTGTATCAAAGATATAAATACAAGACAATTTTGTATCAAAGATATAAATACAAGACAATTTTGTATCAAAGATATAAATACAAGACAATTTTGTATCAAAGATATAAATACAAGACAATTTTAGATCAAAGATATGAATATGGGACAAGCTATAATAAAGGACAATTTTGATCTAAAAAGTAAATACAACATTCTTATAGAATTAAGATGTACAGGACAATTTTAGATCCAATATATATATAAATACTGGAAAACTTAAGTTAATGTTAAGATAAGTTTTAATTTTGCTTGTTTTAAAACAACAAGAGAACATTTTTTGCATTATACAGAGCGTCCCATATCATATTACACTATCTCCAATCTTTTACGCCAAAATACGCACATAATACTCGAAAAATCTAGCATTTTTTGCAAAAAAAATTTCTATTATCCATATTAAATTTTTCAAAATGATTCATTCTTCTTAAATTTTCTGATTTGTCCCCCAAATCGTAATTTAGACCCATAGACGCGTTCTAATTTCATGACACCCTGTAGATAAAAATATACATTGGAGAACCTCTTTTTAGATTTGCTTGTGCCATTTAACATCCATATCATTGCAGAGAGTATTATTTATTACGAAAATCTTATTCATAACCACGGACAGAGTGATCGGGATGTATAATGATTTGTAAGATAGTTCGATAATTCTGGTAATATTTTCGAACAAAATGTTTGTAATTTCAAAATGCTTTTGGTAGCTCATGAAGTTAATATTTTAGAAGAATTTCAGCTCATCTAACATAGAAGGTTATCCATAAAGCATGATAATGTAAAGACAATCCAAAACTCTAAAAAACATGATCCTATTTCAAGTTTGATTTTTGGTTTCTGCATTCAATTAAGTACTTTGATGGTGTACTTAATTATTAGGCACAGAAAGCAAGAAAACGGACTTAACAATTTCCGAACAATCGTCTCTGAAGTCTCATTCTTTGTGGGTAACCTTGTATATTAGTCTCATCTTTACTCCTGAGTAACTCTAACTGAGAATTTGAGAAAGCCCGGGTCGACATGGGTCATCCCTCCCTTCCTTTATTCCCCCCCCCCCCAAACTTCAGTTATGTTTCCAAACTGACCCAGATGGGACCGGGGGAAATGTTTCGAGTGAATGTGTTAAAACAAGAAGCACAACTTGACGTGTTTAAAGGGACAGTAAGAAAATTGAAATAAAGAAATTGCGCATTTTAACTCCAGAAAAAATAAGACGGAAATTTTCAGAATAAACCACTTATCAAGCTAGGAAAACAACGATGTTTTCCATATTATTGATCAGTTAAAGGTTAAGTTCATGTGTAGAGGGGGGGGGGGGTTTGTACGCCCCTCCCCTCTTTCTAGTGATACATTTGGAGAGATGTGATACCATTTACATACAGGGTGTCCCGCATCATATTGCGATTTCCGGGACTAATGCGAAAATCTTAAAAAAAAACTAATCATTTAAAAAATTGTATATTCCTAATATTAAGATTTGCATGCAGAAAATACTATGTTTTTCGAGTGTTATGTGTGTATTTTGGCGTTAAATATTGGAGATAATCTAATATGATATGGAAAGCTCAGTATAATATAATAAATACACAAAACTTTCGTTTTTTAAAAAATAAATCAAATATTATCTGTTTAACATTCTTCCTTATCAAGCCAATTTATGTTAGGTATATATTACCCAACAATTAGGCAGTATATCCAGGCAGTCAGCATTGAATACTTGCTTATCATGTCTTTCTGTTGGTCAGTGTTGTTTTATTTTAAAACATTTAAGACGACCTTTTATCTCATAATTTAATTGATTTTCAGACCCTTCAGTCACGGTGAAATTAAGGGAAAGCATAGGGAGCGTTTAATTGAAAAGGTAATTTTATATCCTATATTCGATATTTTTTTTAAAGCTTTCCTGTTTAAAGAAAATCGCTCAGATTATTTATTATTTATTATCTTTTGGGTAACATTAACGAACATTTTCATCTTTTGGGTAACATTAACGAACATTTTCATCTTTTGGGTAACATTAACGAACATTTTCATCTTTTGGGTAATATTAGCGAACATTTTCATCTTTTGGGTAACATTAACGAACATTTACATCTTTTGGGTAATATTAACGAACATTTTCATCTTTTGGGTAATATTAACGAACATTTACATCTTTTGGGTAATATTAACGAACATTTACATCTTTTGGGTAATATTAACGAACATTTACATCTTTTGGGTAATATTAACGAACATTTACATCTTTTGGGTAACATTAACGAACATTTACATCTTTTGGGTAACATTAACGAACATATTCATCTTTTGGGTAACATTACCGAACATTTACATCTTTTGGGTAACATTATCGAACATAATTTACATCTTTGGGGTAACATTAACGAACATTTACATCTTTTGGGGAATATTAACGAACATTTACATATTTTGAGTAACATTAACGAACATTTACATCTTTTGGGGAATATTAACGAACATTTACATATTTTGAGTAACATTAACGAACATTTACATATTTTGGGTAACATTAACGAACATTTACATATTTTGGGTAACATTAACAAACATTTACATATTTTGGATGCCACTACAACAGATATCGAAGTAACATTGAAATTAATGCCATTCAGACAGAAGGCTGGATTTGAATCGTTATATTATTAAGTATCATATTGTCATTTAAGACTCATTATGTATGGGTCATCCTGTATGTAAACTAAATACTTGTGCGAACTTGCATCCTCGTGTCTCCTTGCAAGCAAATATGTTTGATTGCATTGCATATCAAATAGATTGAGCCTGCTTATAAAAAGTTTCATCAATTTAAGACAGAGTCCACTTTGGAATGTCTATTGCTTTTAGAAACTCTAAGTAATTGAGAAAATTATCATCAATTTTTTGCTTGAGAGCTTGCAAGGCTGCAACTTTAAAAATCACGGTGCATCCGGGATCTTATCAAATGCTCTTCAGAAAAATGAGTTGTGTCCAGAACCGTTTTAATTTTAAATCTTAAATGGCGAAATTAAATTAAAGGGATTGTATTCAAACAGATAATAGATCCCAGTTTTACAACGGTTCCTTGAAAGCTTTTTCTGATCAAGTATAAATTAGATATCTTGAGATAGATATGTTTTTGTTTCTTTAAAATGTTAATTTTCATTTGTGATTTCTCTGCGAAAGTGTCTGACGCATTTCGTGTTTTTAAGCAACAATGGAAACTCACAGAAATATTCACTTTAAAAACATTAAAACATTAATAACATGGTATCTTCCAACATTTTTGATTAGATTACGGTTTCAAGGGTACCGTGTTCATCGAGTATGTCCTCTTTGTATAAGGGGTCACTTGAAATTACGCTTACAGTCCCTTTAAACTTGATGTTTAGTCCCTGGGATGGGAGATATGGGGATAAGAAATTCTAAGAGGGAACCCTCTCTGGCAGATTTTAGGTAAGGGATGAAATAAAAATATTTGTTTAGAAAGGTATTGTTCATATATCAGGGTTATGTGGAAAGTACCAAATGTTGTAAAGAGAATTATTCGATCTCAAAATATATAAGAAAACTTATTTTTGTAAAAAATAAACGGCTTAGCTTTAATTACATTTTTTGTTAGAGATGGGCGGCGCGTTCGTTTTTTCTTTTCGTTCGTTTATCGTTCGTGGACGACCAATTTTGTTCGTTTTTTCCTTTGTTCATTGTTTGTGATTCTTTCGTTTTTTACATTTGGTTCGTTAATCGTTTGTGAACGACATATTAAATTCGTTTTTCAATTGTTAAACAAATTGATTTTCGCGTTCTCAAAATTAAAAAGTAAATTTTCTACAATGTTTAATCGTTCGTTATTGGTTAAGTTTGTTCGTTTTGAAAAGACGATTGATTTTTATTTCTCTGAACGATCCAACTCAGTTGTCCATTGTTAGTTTTTTTTTAAACGACACCATCCTTAATGAAATATTTCGTTCAATCATCGTTCGTGAACGACCTATTTCATTTGTTTTTTTGTGAATCGTTAGAAAAATTGATTTTGCTCGTTCTCAAAATTATCGTTAATTGTCTTCACTTTTTATGCGTCGTTTTTAGATAAGTTTGTTCGTTTTAAAAGACGATTGATTTTTATTTCTCTGAACGATCCAAGTCGTTCGTCCATTGTTAGTTTTTTTTCGTAAACGACACCATCTTTAACGAAAACTTTTTTTTTACTAAAATGACGCCCATCCCTAAGTCCTGTTTATTTAAGGGATGTGTGGGAAGTTGCAGATAGGATAGCAGCCTCATGGAGTGGTTCTAAACATAGACAGGAAAAGGAGAGGAAAGAAGGGATCTTTAAAACTAAAAATGAAGTTGACGCATTTATTCTATCTAGTCTAGCCGGTAATTCATAATTATAATTATCTAAATAATTAAACAAAACGTTCCCTCTGGCCGACCAAACGGCTGGACCAAATGGGCTGATATTTTTTTGCGGTTACTCATGGTACACATTTTTTCCCACCTTTTTTTCCTAGTAATAGTAATAGTAATAGTAATAGTAATAGTAATAGTAATAATAATAACGTTAACAGTCCCTTTAATAATGTTCTATAATTGCACAGGAGAGTTTTATGCCTGGCTTGGAGAGGAAGATGTAAAATCTGTTTTCAGATTTATTTTTCTCGTCTTTCTAACCAACAAGGTTAGACCACTGTGTTTCCTTCCCCTACCCTCCTCTATTCAAACATAGTGTGAAAAAAGGAAAAATAAATGATATTAAGGGAAAATGTATTTTTAAGTAAAGGTATCAAAAGATAAACTAAATTTTTTAAATTTCTGCAAATCCCCCCAAAAAATTTTCTCTCTCCAAAATTTAAACCTCTGACCATCTTTAGTTTTCGTTGTACAATCAGGAAAAAAAATATGTAAAACATTTCTTTTGTTCCTCATGCACAATTTTCTGAAGAATCTACAAATTCAAATACTAAATCAAACTTGGATATTTTCAGTTTCTTTATTTATTAATTTTAAAACCAGTATACGAAAGAAAAATAATTGAGATTTATAAAACTTACTTTTTCTTTTTTAATAAAACTTTAAAACTAAAGTAAGGCACAGGAAAATTTCGAACAAAAATAATGCAATGTCTTATAATTGAAAATATGGATTATTATCATAGATTTTATTGAGGTATTTTTTATACAGGAATAACCAGAAAACTATGAAACGGGAAGACGACTTTCTAGCCATTTTGAAAGTGTATTTTATGTTGTCACAAAGCAAAAAATTGACTTATGAAATTACTTTTTGAGTGAAATGGGTCTGTTTGCACTACACGATTGCTGTGCCCCATGCTTATTAGACTATTTAATGTCATAACTTGGGTCTAAAAGTCGTCTTCACTGTTTTTACATTTTAAAATCCTAATACTTAAAATTTTTTTCTAAGGGATTGTAAGCGCAATTTTAAGTTACACTCAATGCAAAGATGACAATTCCAGATTTACTACGGTACCCTTAAAAACTTTGTCTGATCAAGAATGAATCAGATATCAATGATGTTTTTGTTTCTTTAATCTGATTATTTTCATTTTATATTTTTTCTGCAAAAGGGAATTGCGCATTTCTTGCTTATAAAAAGCATTGGTGAAACTCACAAAAATAAATTCTTTTTGATTCAGAGAAACGAATCGAATGTATCTTCCAAATTTTTGATATGATTAAGGTTTGAATGGTACCATTGTGAATTGAGCATTGAAATCGTTACATGGACGGTCACTTGTTATTTCACTGACAGTCCCTTTAAACTAATTTAAACAGCAACTATTTTGTTACAGGCGTCTGTAGAGCAGAGCATTCAAATCTTATTGTTAATCCGGGATCTTGTTTTTCTTGATCAAGTTCAACCTGAAGTTCCTTTCCAGGTATACTACAGTACAGTACAGTACAGTACAGGTATACTACAGTCTACAGTACAGTATTCATAAAACATTTTAATGGTTCACCTCATTTATTATTTCTTTCAATTCTGAATTGCAACAAATGAGTTTTGTTTGGATTTGTAACAAATTAATTCTAAAAAACATGTCTTGAATATTTTTACAAAAAAATTGCTCTTAACAACCATGGTTTCTCTTTTATCATATTCTATCAATCCCAACTATGATTTCTCTATTATCTTATTTTATCAATCCCAACCATGATTTCTCTTTCATCTTATTATATCAATCCCAACAATGATTTCTCTTTTACCCTATTTTATCAATCCCAACCATGATTTCTCTTTTATCATATTATATCAATCTCAACCATGATTTCTCTTTTACCCTATTCTATCAATCCCAACCATGATTTCTCTTTTTTCCTATTCTATCAATCCCAACCATGATTTCTCTTTTATCCTATTCTATCAATCCCAACCATGATTTCTCTTTTATCCTATTCTATCAATCCCAACCATGATTTCTCTTTTTTCCTATTCTATCAATCCCAACCATGATTTCTTTTTTATCCTATTCTATCAATCCCAACCATGATTTCTTTTTTATCAAATTCTATCAATCCCAACCATGGTTTCTCTTTTATCATATTTTATCATCCCAACCATGGTTTCTCTGTTATCACATTTTATCAACCCCAACCATGGTTTCTCTTTTATGATATTCTATCAATCCCATCAATGGTTCTCTTTTATGATATTCTATCAATCCCATCAATGGTTCTCTTTTATGATATTCTATCATTCCCAACCATGATTTCTCTTTTATCCTATTCTATCAATCCCAACCATGATTTCTTTTTTATCATATTCTATCAATCCCAACCATGGTTTCTCTTTTATTCTATTCTATCAATCCCATCAATGGTTCTCTTTTTTGATATTCTTTTAATTACAAAACAATTAGAAACAGTTTCTTGGGACAATAATTCCACGGTTTTCTGTCTTCCATTTTTTTAAAAATATATCAGATCTAGAAAATGTTTAATTTGTCTTCTAGCAATGATGATATGATAAAACGCTTATAAATAAGAAAATAATAATATGGTTTTGTCATGCAACAAAATACAGGCAACCTTTATCATTTCTATATTAAATCTATTTATCGTAAAAAAAATTAAACATGAAATGTCACAAAGACACAATTCCCCTGAAGACTAGAGAAACAATTTTAAGTGAACCTCCGATTAAAGACGGACATGTCGGATTCACAACTAAACCTTTTAAGCCTGTGTTTGATTAAGCATCAACAAGATATCCTTATTTTACAGTGAAAAATTGTTTTTTTTTTAATAGAGGTTGTAATAGTGACGGTTAAGAAATAATAAAGGTATATTATCAAATTTAACTTTTCAAGGTATAAAACAGCGATAGCTTCTTCATTCTTACTCAGATTAATGTTGAAAGGGTACCGTTGTGAATCAGATATGCCACTCTAATAAAACTGCGTTTACGTATTCCTATAAGGACATGATGGGGCTAAAATGGGCCAAATGCTTCGTATTTTACATTTGAAGATTTTGAGTGTTCAATGCGATGAAGACGACCTTTTCCGTACATTGGAGTGTATCCAGATTCCAGAGTATCTAACCTTCATAAACAACCTTAGGATAAACCCTTTATCAAATATTTCAGGACCCCACTGATGTTTGTTTTACAGTTTACACACATCTACAAACACTTTCACAGGTTGGTTTCTATATTCAACTTTTTTATTGATTATCTTACACTGCAAACTACAAACAGTATGAAAAGGAAAAATCGACGTGACATCTCTGGTACAACTTCGTAGCTCATCTAGCATTGATTTTACTCACAAGTATGAGAAAAGAAAGTTAACTCGGTTACATTAGAATTCAAAGCTTTTTTCTTTCTAATATCTCTTTAAAGGGACTGTAAAGGAAAAATGAAAGGGGGTATAGTTAGTATAAAACCTGAGAATCTCAGGTTTTGAACGATACTTTTAAAACATCTTTCTGATGTTCCTGTCTCAAGAAATTGACATAAAACTGTGTCAAAACTATACCAAAACGGACATGTGTCAGATTTTTCCTTTACAGTCTCTTTAATTAAAGGAGTAAAGATTGAAAAATGTAAGAGTTTAATCTTAAGTGACATCTAATTATTTTGACGCGTCTTATCAAATTTTGTAAACACTATTTGTGCATGACAATTTTTGTGAGAGCTAGAGATACATATTGTGGTAATCAGTATTGATCTAGCTTTATGTCCGGGTTCGCATTTGTGATTGAAGTCCTATTAACCCGTCCTGTAAAATATGTACTGCATTCAATTAATAAAAAATTGTTAGTGTATATTTAATATATTAATTGTTTAAGGGCTGTAGTAAAACGAAAATAGCCTCGCTAAAAACTCTACTACTTAAACTTACAAAGGTATTAATTATTCATAAAAAAAATTAGATTTTTAGGATGCATTTGAAAATTCAATAAAGTTTGAAGAAAAAAATGTCTGATACATTTTAGCAGGAAAACCGTTAAACAGTGTATTAATGAAGTTTGAATATTGCTATTGTTTAGGATCCAGTTGTTGTTGATGAACTAGATACAAGATACAGAGAGTTCTTGGTTTCATCGTTTTCAAGAATCAAGATTCAAAATTGCATCATGTCACTTTTATAGGATGTAAACTGCATCATGCCTTTGTTTCAAAGCCCATTGAATGTACATGACAAAAAATCAGACTAAAGATTATATATCTTTTTTATATTCAAAACAGCGTGCAACTAAAATTTAATTATTTTACTGAAATTTTAAAATGAACTTTTCAGATTTAATTAGAGTTGTGTTTCGTTTGCGTTTTACTTTACTTTGGAGACTACTATGTATTTAAAATTTTATCCATTATTTGTAAAACAGCCTTATTCCAATCTATTAAAATGTTTCAATTGTTTGTTTTTCATTATTTTATCTTAATAAATTCATTTGAAAATAATTTTTTTATAAACGCAGGTTTGAAATAGTATTGCACGGTTTCGGTGTTTTTTTTTGAAGTAGAGATTTTTTATTGGTATATGTGTAAAGAATGTAAATAAAATAAATAAGTAGTAATGTAAATAAAATATTAAAAAAGGCTTTTAGAGCGCTTCGCGCCCCCTTTCCTAGTAACAATTCTGGTTTTTAACTATATTTCTCTGAAAAAACGACATTTAATCCTTTTCTTTCCTGTCAAAACTGTTCAACTTTGAATACAAAGAAACAGAAACCTAGACAAGCAAAGTTCATACCATGTTCATACAGATGAGAACAAGAATGGATCATGGAACAGAAACCTAGACAAGCAAAGTTTATGCAGATGAGAACCAAAGAATTGATTATGGAACAGACATCTAGACAAGCAAAATTTATACAGATGAGAACAAGAATGGATTATGGAACAGACATCTAGACAAGCAAAATTTATACAGATGAGAACAAGAATGGATTATGGAACAGAAACCTAGTCAAGCAAAGTTTATGTAGATGAGAACAAGAATGGATTATGGAACAGAAACCTAGACAAGCAAAGTTTATGTAGATAAGAACAAGAATGGATCATGGAACAGACATCTACTGGGAACGTATTGTGGATATCAATACTTGATCACAATCTAAATTATTAATCCGCAGATTAGATTAATCTTTAGTTGATATCCTCCATCAGAGAATGAAGGAAGCTTTGATTACGGGAGGAAAAACTGAAATGAAGATTTTACGCATTGATCCTTTAATCGATAGCTCCCACAGTGGATATCGTGATCAAGCGATCTAAAAAAAATTACCAGTCTGTTTTGTGTTTACCCTTAATCCAGAGCTGAAAACTTTAGAATGATGGATATTGAGATTAATGCTTTATCCTCTCTTATGAAGCCGAAAAATTAAAAATTTTGCGCGCCATTTAAGATTACATACTGAAACGGGAGGAACTCTCTGATTTAAAAAAATGGTTTTTTTATTTTTCTCTACTATATCCAAGAACGAGTGGATTAGGAAGAAAGATAAAAGTGTGTCCATTGGATACTCAGATTAAGTAATCGGGATTAAGGATATCTCAGCTCTGTTTGCTTAAAAGCAATGACCGGCAATGTATGGTTGTTGAATTATGCTCTAGTATGGTATTGAATGACGAACACGAAAAATGTAGTAAAAATTCTACAGTAAACTAAGTAGTTGTTTAAGAACAGGTTGAGAAGATGAAAATTATCCATTATCATCGAAATTAAGTAATCTCATTCAGTTATCGGTATATGTAATGTCTCGTTCATCACAAACATTTTCTGTAGATTTCCTGTAAATTTTATTGAAAAGACGACATTTGAAGAATTTGAAGAAATCTGCGATTGAGAAAATTTCAATTGATAAATATGTTCTTAAATTAGTTTACTGTCGAATTTTTTGAGCATTTTTTGTGGTAACTATTTAATATTTTTTTTAAAATCGATTCTCAAAACGTAACCAACAAACTGGATTATTTTGAACGTCGACTTTGCACTCTAACTCAGTAATTATACATCATTAAAACTTACATGTCTCAAATAAATTCTAAAAAATGTCTCCACAATACTACATTCTCAGTTCAACTAATATACATTGCCGGTCACTCTCTTTAATCTTAATATCCATTGTGGACACTTTTGATTTATGCTTAATCCCCTTTTGTTGGTTCCGTCTAAGAAAAGTTCTCTTATTGGTTGCGCGCAAAATTTCTCGGGCTCTGATTGGCTGTTCGGTTTTTAAAAACGACAGTCTGATTGATGGAATTTTAGACACTTTCCTGAATATAATTTACAGATAACATTGATCTTGATATCCGCAATACAAGAGTTTCTAGCTTTGGTCAATATTGTTCAATACAAAAATTAAGAAGATAGCCCAAAAAGTTCGAAAATAAAGTATTAATGATTAACGAAAAAAAAGAAAAAAATAGATTGAAAAGAAGATTTATTTGTTAAATTTTTTTTCTGATTACAATTTTATAATTCCCTTAAATCTAAAGAACTGTCGATAAATTATTTTATGCGATCAGTTCAAATGGACGGAGTTGGTTGGACTTTTTTGTGGCACTCTGGTACAATTTAAGAAAACATTATTTTAATATTTAACAATAAAAAATTTACGAAAAGTTTGTGAGAAAATAAAACAACCTTTGTTGGTATAAGTTTCTTAAAAAGTACCCTGAGGCCTCCCTTACAAACTAGGAAAACATTTTACGAAAAACATATTTTACAATTCTAACAAACAAAAAGGAGCAACTGTAAGTTTGTAAATAATAACAAAATTTTAAATTAGAATTTTAGATTGCGTAGAAAAATTGATGAAATGCAAACTGAAATAATCTTGGACTTAAAACTAAGTCTAAAAAATGTGTTTCAATTGATACCAAAAAAATGTATTCGAAAAAAAGGCAAAAAACGTAAAATTAAAAAAAATGGAACAAATATCACAGAACTAATTTTCAAATGGAATGTTGGTGAGTCGGAGACAGTCATTTTAAACAAGTGTTTTAAAAATACTGAAATAATAAAATTACAAAATATTACAATATATATACACATAAATATAAATATATACATGTATATTATTTATATAAGTAAATATAGAAGTGTTTGATGTTTATAAAAATAAGAAATAAGCAAAAATAATTAATACTTTTTACAAGAAAAAAAATTGCAGAAAAATTATTAAAAAAATATCAAAGAACAAATCATAACATTGGAATGTTCGAGAGCGGAGAATGCATAAAAGCATTGTACACTATTCATTAATCAGTCATACAACATACATCATTCAAAACCATTTTCTCTCTTTATAATCTTTTCATGTATTCACATTTCATTCTTAAATGCAATTGTTGGGTAGAGGAACAAGATAGGTCTTCCTGAACATATAACAAATTTAGCTGGATTTAAAAAGATTCCAAAATTTCAGATTAAATAAAAAACAAGTTTTACCTGTTTCCTGAAAATGAAAATTAATTGTGCTGGAAAATAGCTGTGTGATGGTTTTCTGCTGAAATGTTCAGTTTGTTTGTGCAAAATGTTAGCGCTTGTTGTTTGCGCATTTTCAATGCTGATGGCTTGCGCATTTTGAGCGCTGATGGTTTGCGCATTTTGAGCGCTTGTTGTTTGCGCATTTTCAATGCTGATGGTTTGTGCATTTTGAGCGCTGATGGTTTGCGTATTTTTAGCACTGATGGTTTGCGTATTTTTAGCGCTGATGTTTTGCGCAATTTAAACGCAGTTGGTTTGCGTTAATTTACGCATTTTGCCCAAAGGCAGACGGATGTTAGTCTGCGGCTTGTCTAATCTTCTACATGGTGTTCTGAAAAAAACATGATTAAAATTTTGTTTCTTAAATAATTTTGATATACAGAATTCCAGCTGCTATTATTTACAAAGTTGAGGTGGCCTTGTTACCCAACTGCACACTGCACACTGCATATATTGACTTTGCTGATAAGACATATTGATCCTTCTCTCCCCCTTCCTGCCCCCCCCTCATACTTTTATACAATGAGTCACAAAAACACATTCTATTATTGATTGTAATTTTTCGATAAAATTCTTCAGTACGTTTTTCATTTGATATCGTATCCTTCCAAGCGCCCTACTCCTTAGTCCCTACTCCCTACTCCCTACTCCCTACTCCCTCCTCCATACTCCCTACCCCCTATTATTGATTGTAATTTTTCGATAAAATTCTTCAGTACGTTTTTCATTTGATATCGTATCCTTCCAAGCGCCCTAGTCCCTAGTCCCTAGTCCCTAGTCCCTAGTCCCTAGTCCCTAGTCCCTAGTCCCTAGTCATAGATGGAAGAGTAAGAAAGGTAGACATGATGTAATTCAATACTATACATTCACCTCAACATTGTTAATTTACAGGGTTACCCACAAAGAAACATACTTTCATGAGGACCAATATAAAACTCTTTGAAAATTGAAATTCTTCCTTAAAATGGGTTGTAGAAAAAAAAAGATTTTGCAACTGCAAGGAAAAACACAATTGTATAAGCAGGTGGTGGAAACATAAAATGTAAGATCAAACACTGAATATAATTCCGTATAGTCGCCTCTGAAGTCTCATGCTTTATAGGTAACCCTGTATAAATAGAGTTTCGGTTTATCCTTACCCTGGACCATCCCTGGATCAACAAATCTAGTAATAATGCAGAAACAGAAATTTGAACGCGCGAAAATCCCGAATTTCCTTTTTGGGGATATGGGTGTATGCGTAGATTTTAATTTAAGAAACCAGAAAAGCAAAATCAAAATTTAAATATACCACATTTAATGTTATTTCTAAGCAAAACTGCCGGAGTTCTGATATTGGGTTTCCTTCAGGGGGGATGATAGTTCTCTACCTGTGTGCTCAGTTAGCTGTACTGTACACTTACAACTGTTTACCAGAGCCCAAAACTTAAGACAGGGTATCGTTATGAAAACCAGTTTTAAAACCCGGGTTTCACAAATGGGGTTAGGCAGTTTTATGAATATCAATATTTTTGTAATAAAATATTATCACTTGATTTATATTTTCCATTTTTTTCGAATCTCTTAAATCAAAATCTACACAAATGTTAAGACCCCAAAAAGGAAACTCGGGAGTTTCGTTCAACGATACTCTTTTAAATTTCGGGCTCAGGGGGATGATAGTTCTCTACCTGTGTGCTCAGTTAGCAGTACTGTACACTTACAACTGTTTACTAATTAATATTGATATACTATAGGCATAGAGAATAGAATATATAGAGAGGAATTTACTAGAAAAAAGTGTAAAACGGCCATTTTGTTGTACTGTTTCCATACTGCAGGTGTACTTCACATTTATGCTATATAACCTGTTGGGCCCTGGAACATCATTTTATAGAAAATCTAAAATTATTGTTTAAAGAAAACCAAATTATGAAATAGGCTGGTTTCATAATTAACCAATGCCTTCCACTTTACAAACGATGATATAACTATAAATCAAATGATGTTTTTATTCACCTTTTTAAAAAATTCGAAATTGAAATGGATAGTACAGGGGACATACTGTATTAATGTACTCTACTGCATATAATTTGTGAACATTTACATGATTTGTACACTTTGAACTCCCTTTCAGGCTGAAAGGGACTGAAAAAATTCATACCGAGAGATTCTTTTAATTCCTCTCTATATATTCTATTCTCTATGACTATAGGTTAGGCCAGAATCAACTTATAACAAACAAATATGCAGTATGCATTCGGTATAGTTGATGCCCTATACATTACAATTAGTAAATGATTAGCGTACATCATCACTTTATACACTATAACCTCGATGGTTTCCTTACAATACTCTTAAGTATGTCAGTTTTCATTTTATAAACTCGTTACTTTCTTCTCTTTTAGAACTTAATTAAAGAAACACATGACGACTTCACGTTACATTAAGAGTAAAATTAGAGTCTTTATATGCATAATTATGGACATACATCCAGTTTTAATAGATACCTTAAATGTAGCTAATGTGATTTAATTAAAATGCTACATGTCCTCCTTTGGTATAACATAAGGTGACACGGACATCCTTATAAATAGATACCTTAAATGTAGCTAATGTGATTTAATTAAAATTCTACATTTCTTCCCTTGGTATAACATAAGGTGACACGGACATCCTTATAAATAGATACCTTAAATGTAGCTAATGTGATTTAATTAAAATTCTACATTTCTTCCCTTGGTATAACATAAGGTGACACGGACATCCTTATAAATAGATACCTTAAATGTAGCTAATGTGATTTAATTAAAATTCTACATTTCTTCCCTTGGAATAACATAAGGTGACACGGACATCCTTATAAACTAAATACCAAAAGGGCCACGAGTAACACCAGATAATGTTGCCAACTGAATGTAAGTAATTTTTGGACCTTAATTATTTTTTAAGGGAGTGACCGGCAATGTATGGTAGTGGTAGTTGAACTAAGAATGTAGTACCGTGGAGAATCATTTGATACCTATGAATCGTTTTTACGTTGCATATTTGTTCAACAAGAGCAAAAGTTCAATCTTAAAAATCCTCATTTAGGGATATTTTTTTAAGAATCGGTTATAAAAAAGTTATTCAATATTGACGACGAAATTTGCAGTACAAATTCGACAGTAAACTTATTCAGTTATTGTTTTCTGTAATGTGTCAATGTTCAAAAACATTTTCTGTAGATTTCCTGAAATTTGAAGAAATCTGCGAACAATTTCATAAAGTATAAGAAATTCAATATAATGATGAAAAAGAAATTTAATTGATTTTAACATTGATTTATTAAGAAGATTTCGATAGAGAAATATGTTCCTAAACATCTAAAATTAGCTTACTGCAGCATTATTTTTATATTTTTGTCTTCACTTTTTAATAATTTAAAAAATGGATTCTCTAAACGTAACCACCCAATTGAGTGAATTTGACCTTCGACTTTTCACTCAAACTCAGTAATTATACATCATCATTAAAACGTTTTATATGTCACAAATGAATCCTACAAATTTTCTCTACAATACTACATTCTCAGTTAAACTACAGGGTGTCCCACGAAACATGAAAGTTGGTGAATAGTTTTGAATGTTTTCTTCTACATACTGTATTAAATATTAGAGACTTTTGCAGATCATTTCTTTAAAAAAATGTTAACTCAAAAATATTTTACTGTGATATCAATTTTATTACAATATAACAGTCATATAAAAAATGAAGAAGACATTTTAAGCTATTCACCAACTGCAGTCATGTTTCGTGGGACACCCTGTACTTTACATTGCCGGTCACTTCATTTATTCTATATACATTTGAATAGTGCGATGTTTAAAAAAACCAATTTCAATTTTATTAAATAAAACCAAAATTGTCGAAATCTAAACAAAATTCTTCATTTCTCTGGTAACTTTGAAATTATTATAAAAGGCAGACCACATTTTAGAAATGTTTCGTGAGACATCCTGTAGCTCCAGAATTTGTTATTGTTTACTTAACACGTAATTAATGCAACAACTTCATTAACAATGTTTGCGTGAATAAAAAAATTCCTGAAATTTTTTTTTGATTTATTAGAATTTTTAAAAAATATATCGCATTAAAAGAACCCATTAAAACTGTCATAAAACAAGGTCAAATAAAAAAAAATACTGGATGTATTAAAAAATAATTACCAAGAAAATATTTATTTATTTTTTTGTCTTGGTAATTTAGTAATTTGATACAGGGTATTGACTGCTATCAAGATTTTAAATTGGTTAAAGTTATATCAGTGAACATGAAATCCAAGTAAATTCAGTCTTTTTTGTTAAATGGGAGTGTTCGAAAAAAATTAAAAGGGGTGAATCACGATAGTTCAGCTGAGCGTTTAGGATATTCCATTATGGAGTATTCAGTTAAAGAATCACGATAGTTCAGCTGAGAGTTTAGGATATTCCATTACGGAGTATTCAGTTAAAGAATCACGATAGTTCAGCTGAGCGTTTAGGATATTCCATTACGAAGTATTCAGTTAAAGAATCACGATAGTTCAGCTGAGCGTTTAGGATATTCCATTATGGAGTATTCAGTTAAAGAATCGTTTTTTATTATTATTCGACGACGAAAAAACATCAAATTTTTGCAGAAAACAAATAACATTTATCCTCCTAAATGTACAATTATAAATTTTCCGCTCTTTTTCAGCAACTATACACTGTAAAAACATATTCTAGGTCTCAGAGGAAACCTAGCACACATGTTTACAACACTGCACTCCTATAGTCTAGCCGGTCCCTTAGAGACTATTAGTCCCGCTAAGTAGTAAACATACCTTTTCAGAAATGATAATTTGGTTTTTCCATTAACGGTTGTATCCAATATAAGAATGATATCCGATGTGAACCCGAGTATGATATCCAATATGAAGATGGTGTCTTGGATATCAGTTGTATTAGTACTCTTGGTTCAGATAACTAATGTATCCAGTGTAGTGGACTATTGGAGTGAGGATTATGACACAGGTAAAAAGCATGGAATTGGGTAGGATTGAGATTAAATGAACCATAGATCAATAACAACACAGATAGAATATTAGATGTCTCCTTTTCAAGATTTAGGGGTTGTTCGTTCACAATAACCCTGGGGCAGTGGGAGTTACGCTCATGCGGCGTAGAACAGGTTCTCTCTTTGTCGTGTAATTCAACGCAGCATGCGCTTAACTCTTGTTGGCTTCTACCTCAGGGTTATTGTGAACGAATAACCCTTGAATCTTGAAAAGACAACATCTAGTGTTATATATGTGTTGTTATTAATCTATGACAGGGACTGTACCAAAATTTCAAGTTACCCTCTATGGTAATAAAGCAACGGTGCCCTTGAAGGTTTGTCTGATCAAGTTTGAATTAGATTTCTATGTTTTTGTTGTTACAAACTGTTCGCTTTAATTTGCGGTTTCTTTGCGAAAGTGACTTGCACATTTCTTGCTTTTAAGAAGTTATGCAGAAATTATCAGAAGTAAACACTTTTCGAGTAAGCAAAACGACGTTATCTTTCACGTTTTTGATTCGACAAAGCTTTTAAAGGCCCCGTTGCAAATAGGGCATTGTCATCTTTGCATGAATAGGTCATGAATTGCACATGCCTTTTTCTAGGAAAGCTTAAAAAGCTTTAAAATAAAACACATTGTCATAGAGATATTGCTTTATTTCAATCCGGCAATATTTAAGCCTCTCAGAGAAAAAAGTGTCAAGTATATTTTTTTAACACATTTTATTTTTGAAATTAACAGAAATAAAACGTTCATCACCATTTCCTCAGAAATGTTTTTGTTCCATCAAAGTGAAAATGTTATTAATTTACTTTTTATAAGGAAAGTCTAACTGAATTGAGTCTTTGCCACAAACTTAAATTTTCTAATCCCATATATCTATCCAACCTGACAGTGTAAAGCTTTGATATTTTAAACTTAGATTATTAGATCTAACAGAATTGACAGTTTGCAATATCTAACATCTACGACATTTGGTTGCCAGGAGTAGGGATTAGAAAATTTTAGTTTTTTACAAAGACTCAACTTTTTTTAAATTACGAACTTAGAAATTAATTTTGGCAACTTATTTTTTTACGTTTTTTTAATGTTTTAAGCGAAAAACTGCAAGAGTGAAGATCTAATCATAGAAATTAAACAAAACAAGGTAAAAGAAAGAAAAAAATGTCCTTGCAAAATCAAAAATCACACCCAGCTAAGCAGAATGTCGGAAAGTGTTTGTATCATTTGAAAAGTTAAAGTTAAAGAGAAAAACTTTGGCATTCATTTAATATCAAAGAGACATTTTTACGGTGTACACTTTATGAACAAGAGCGTAAAGTCATTTTGTAAAACGTTTCTTCTGCTTGACTCAAACAACAGGTGAAATAATACTTTATGATTTTCTTTAAAATTGTACACCTTTAAAAATGTCTCATTGGTATCAAATAAATCATAAATTTGTTATCTACAATGCTGCACTTTCAGCTCAACTACAATGTCTAGCCGGTCTCTCCCTTTAAAAGACTAAGGAATTGTTAAATGTTACTGTAAATCTCAATTTAATTTTAATGACTCTTAAAACTGGTCAATTAGAAATTTTAAATTAAGAGCTTCTAGCTGCATGGATGGGAAAATTATATTATAAAAGAAATATATTATAAATTATAATGTAAGTTGCGTTTCACAAGTTCAAAATATGGTCTATCTTTGTGATTTCGATTTTGCAAAAAGGTTTTTTTTTATATTTAGTAAATACCCAAATTCTTTAACCCTTGTCATACTAGCCCTCACCCCTTAACGTATTTTGGGTATAACTTAAAACATTTTTGATCTATGGCTCCTTTTTTGACTTTACTAAATAACACAAATCCCTCACTTCAAGCTAAATTTGATTATCTTTTGCGGACATTTGAAGTAGAGCCATAAAGGCATTCAAAAAATATTTATGAAATGCTATGGATGCTTAATTTTATATGAAGTCTTTTGCGCTATATTTACGGATTTTGAGTGAGAGATCATATAATTAAGTTAGTGGGAGTTGGAAGGCCCTTTTCAAAAAAGAACTTTTCTAAAAATAAATCTTAGCGGCATTCACGGATTAGTGGGAGTGTTTGCGAAAAACGAAAGTAAGTATAGGCTGATTTTGAATTCGATATTCGATAATTTTCTCATTATAAACGCAGTTAGTAGTGAATTGAATTCGATATCAGCCAATAACCGTTTAGTTTTTGCGAACACTCCCTTTAAAAAAAGAAAATGACATTAATTTCACATTCTGGTTATCACTGTACATTTGTATTAGACTCAAGGATTTTGTGAAGAAGAAGTTGGAGACCTCAGCGATGAAAAGGTGTTTTTACATTATTCTTTTATAAATACTTCTGGAACGAATGCTCAGTGCTGAATACGTTAGAATTGTGGATATCAAGATCAATACTTGATCTCGTCTGTTTGCTAATCTTATTTTAATCTTTCGATTGAATCGAGGATAGTTTCTCAAACTCAACCAATCAGAATGGTTAATGCAGAATTCTGAACAGCCGATCAGAAGCTGGGTATTTTGAAATTTTGAAAATTTTATTAGACAACTCTCAAAACTCCAGAAGTGATATCCAAAAAAACGGATTAAACAGAATTCAAAAGTGACCACAATGGATAGCTATATGAAGCAATCAGTAATAAGGGTATTCAATTCTAAATTGTTAACCTCTGATCTCCTTGAACTGAGTTTTGTTTATATTTCTCCCAGAAACTGAACACAGAAACATTAAGTATAGGATTGGCTAACTAAATTTTCTTTCACACCCTTTATGGAACATTGAAACATAATTACATAATATCCTGAATATTTTTAACTTTGTCAAAAACGGCACAACAATTATTTTTCAAATCATAAATTTCTATTATCAAGCTACAAAGTTAATTTATCAACACAATACAGGAGTAAATAAAAAATTTGAGACTTTTATGACAACGTGAAAATCTATTAAACAAACCATTTTGCATTAAATAAAAACTATAAAAGAACTCCAAACAGATCTCAATGGAGGGGAATGTTAACATTTCTCTCTAATCATACTTTGCTTGTCTGTTTGTTTGTATCGTTAGATCGGCTGAACCGATCGGGCTCAAATTTTTTTGTGGCACCTGACGTGACCCCAGGGAAGGTTTATAAATGATCAAAATTTAATAGATTTTTTTATACAAGTTTTTTTTATTTTCGTAAAAGTTTTTAACATTTTGAAAATCCGCGAATTATTTTTAGGAAATTTTTTTCTTCACATTTTACACAAAGAGAACATGCTCACAATTGAACTATAAGATGAGCGCGAAGCGCCTTAAAAGCCTAGTATAATTAAATATGAGGAAGTGGGTCACACTCTCAATTTTGGCATCTTTTTTGTTGACATTTTTTGTCTATATTTAGCATTAAGAAAGATTAATATATATTATATATATTTTTAAAAACTTAATTTCTTGATTCTATTTTGTTATCCTACAGTGTCGTAGTATATATCAATACAATGAAGCCGAGCTTTTATTTCAATTTTTGTTTTCTTCAAATCTTTCAAATGGATAAACATCAAACATGAAAACAGAACTCGTCTTTCTCGTATTGATATAAACGCCGACCAATGTAACGAAATTGACTGAGGACTTTCAAACATTATAATGTTTGAAAGTTAAACGATTTATATCAAAACTAATTGGCTGACACTGATTTCTCCCAAGGAGCTCTGGATAAATTGCTGTTAACGGAATTCTTTTTTGCCAAATCAAATTACACTTTTGGCATTGTCTTTCTTCATTCTAAAGTTTCAATTTTTATTTCAGCATTGAAAAGTTCACACATTTTTTTTCTTCATAAATTTCAGGTTTTTCAAAACTGCAAACTGAATATGGCAAAAACCTTGGGTTCTCTGTGTAGATCAACTACAGTGGAGCAGGTATATAATAATAATTTTGAAATCCCCCCCTCCAACAAAATAAACTCCTTGTTCTTCATCTGAAATTTACGATTTTTTACATTCAACTTTAATATTCACAGTAGTACACTTTAGATCTTTGTTTTGAGCAGAAATGTGGATAATATTGTCGTTTTTTGAATGAAAAGAGTAGAATGTTTGCATACTGCATTCCTTCTCTACAGTCGCATAATTCACAAGTAATTTTTAAAGAGAAACAGCACAGTCTCTTTATCGTTTTTGTCCAGACCAAATAAATTATTAAATACAATAGATAGCAACAGAGAAATCTACGAATTATACACGACGCCAAATAAGTGTCAAATAAAACAAGGAACACGAAATTTTCTCACATTAGTTGACATGTTTTCCAAGATTGAATAAAAAAGTGTAAAAACAGAAAATAAAGAACACTTCAAATTGCTCTTATGTTTCTTGAAGATATGCATTTTCTTCTAAAATTATCACTATTATTAATAATTTTGTCGGACACTAAAACTGAATTGACACTTGTGACGTCAGAATACAGCTGTACTAAGAGTGTACACATTTTACGTTGCCATCTGTTGTACTAGAATCTATTTGGTCCGGACAAAGGTTTAAAGAGAACTACTCTTAATCATACATGATTGATGACCCTGTTAAAAAGGAGGGTCATATAGAATTGCGTCGAAATTTCATTTTAAAGATAAAAAACAAGGTCTAAATAATGTCCCTAATCATATTTGTAGGCTGGAGAACTGCTGTACTGTAAGAATAACATGCAAACAGTTTGCTGCGCGAGGTACACATCACGTCAACGTTTACCTCCTCTCCCAACGATGGACTAGGGTCAATTTGAATTCAAACCGGATCGACCCCATGTATGCAGCCCGACCCCATGTACCAGCCTGACCCCATGTACCAGCCCGACCCCATGTACCAGCCAGACCCCATGTACCAGCCCGACCCCATGTACCAGCCTGGGGGACGCGCAGCATGTACCAGCCTGACCCTTGATCCAGATTCAACTTTAAAGGGACTGTAAAGAAAAATGAAAAGGGGTTACAGGATGAAACCTCAGAACCTCACGCGTTAAATGATATGTATAAGGCTTAAACAGCCGTAAAGAGATCAGTAGTTGAACTATGTCTACTTGGATCAGATACTTCATCTATCTGATGTTCCTGTCTCGAGAAATAGATATAAAACTGTGTCAAAAGTATACGGAAATCTATTTCCAAATTTTTTTTTATAAAAGTAGTAGGTTTAAACACGATCATATTCAGCAAATACGCAAACAATCTGAAAACGATTATATCCCACAGGAGTCTGAGAATCTCAGGTTTGCTCCTATTATAATTTTTAAATTTTTTAATTGGCTGAAGTTCTGGTACGTAACACGGACTATACGGACTATATGTAATACTATTATCAATTATATCTATTAAAAATGTAAAATAAAAACTAAAAATTATAATCGAAGCGCGCAAACCTGGGATTCTCAGGCTCCTGTGGGATATCATCTTTTTCAGATTGTTTGCGTATTTGCTGAATATGATCTGTTAAAACCTACTACTTTTATAAAAAGTTTTATAAATATAGATTTTCGTATAATTTTTACACAGTTTTATATCAATTTCTCGAGACAGAACATCAGATATTTTTCATTTTTCCTTTACAGTCCCTTCAGGCGCGCCCAGACTTTTTACAGTGCCCTGCTTATCATAAGCCTATTTGACCTACCCCACTAGCTTGGCTTCATGTGCCTCCCTAGGGCTAGACAAATTCTTTCCCTAACATTTTCGTTCTTTTAATCAAGAATTGTCTAAAACTGTTACCGTTGTTTATCGGTAACGGTAGGTGAAGATTAATTTGTCGTTTTCATTGTAACATATGATATATCGTTAACGAAAACATACTTTCCCTTCAAAACCTGTTTGTTCCACGTTTTAAAGTTTCCCAAAGAATTAGTTCGTTAATTCTAAACTTAAATTTTGAAAAGAAATTCACGGTCATAAATTTAAAAAAAACGATTGTTTCCTATTTCCGCTCCTCCCCCCCCCCCACCGTCTAGATAAAAAATACAAATTATGCTTCTAAAGATTAATGATGACATTTGTGGTAGGAATTATAATTGTACAAAAACTTGGGATACAATCAGTGAAAGATTCGTCGACAAAGCCATCAGCTTTCTGAAAGATCAGGTAAGACTTTGTGACCTCGTAAGACCTCTTGTTTTCATTTTGAATCCAAAGATTGAAAAAAAACCAGATATGCAAGATTTCAAACTTAAAGGGACTGTAAATGTATACATTTCAAGTGACCTTTCATTTATAGAGTAGCATTTAAGATTCACATTGGTACCTACTGAACTTTGTGTGGTAATCAACAACAAGATGTCTGTACTTAATTTTCCCCACCTTTAACAGACGTTTTCCAGATTATCATAATGGCAACTTCTAAAGAGCCAACTTCCCAAACGTGCAACTTCACAAGCGCCAACTTCCCAAATGTATATTTATAGTTTAGGCCTTCAAAGGCGCCGCACGCTGCAATGGGGGGCCGAGCATTGCGGCTAGAATAGATTTTCCCAGTTGCCGCTTGGGAAAGTACCTAAAATCATAATTTAAGGTTTTTTTTCAGGATAAATTTCTTGCGGAAGAGAAAAAGAAGGGATACGCATCGTGCCACTCTTTGAATTCAAGTATGTTGGCTGCTATATAGTGTAAATACATGTATGCTGTGCTATTACTAGACACTTTGGGCCCATTTTCTATTTAAACTTTTAATTGTTGCTCAATCTTTTACCATTTTCTTTACAATAATACAAAATTTTCGGGATTTACAGTTGTGTTTTAGTGGATTTTGAAAATTTTTCGAAAATCAAAAATATTGGATACAAATTTTACCTTCCCTGGGGTCATGTGAGGTCAAGCACAAAATTATGGCCGGATTGGTTCAGCCGTTTTGACGTTAATTGATTAAAAACAAACAGACATTATCCAAGCAAAGTATGTATAGATAGTTTGAATCAAATATTAAACAAATTCTATTTTGATATGCAAAGTTTTAATAATCACAAAATATTTAATGAATTCACTCGACAATATCTAAACAATGAAAATGTTCATTTTGGAAATTTAAACTACTTCAAAAAATGTAATGGAAAAAGCTTTTTATTGCTATTAAAAAACGTGTCAAAGCCATTAAGACAGATTGTATTCAAGATTATGCCATATACTTAGGTTTGGATGCCAGTATTTGCCAACAGGATTGCACAAAATATGAAGAATCTGATTTTGCAAAAAAGTGCAAAAATGACGAAGGATATTTCAAGTGCTGTGTCAGGAACACTTCTTATTTATAATGAATAATTTTTTTAATAAGAGAGAAAACAATTTAAAAAATTTGCCTAAATGTGTTTTTGTTCATTGGGGGAAATTAACAGTCTTTTATAAGTCTAGTCATTGTTAGAATAAGGAAGTATTGTCAAATATGTGTATATGATTTCTATAAATTATCAAAGTTAAAAAAGCGCTTTATAAAACCAACGATAAAGAATGTTAATGAAAGGAGGGATAAAGCAAATTGTCATGAGTGCAGATTTTGCTGTACACTTCTCATGTGCACTTTGAGAATAGGCGGAAACGGTAAAAAATTTATGAATGTTAATTTCTTTAATTCTTCTGATTAACTAAATTGAAACTATATACTATCTATCTACATTTTAAAACTTTTTCTTTCTGATTCTTTATTTATTGTTAAATTTTAAAATTGTTGTGTGAAATAGCAGCAACACTTGATCTGGACTAGTACACCTTATAGAGAGCTGTAAGCTGACCAATTAGAGTAGAAGTGTCCTTTGTGTGACCAATGGTACAAGAGAAAAATTTCTCCGAATTTGACTAATGAGAAAAGCCTATACATCTGTTTGACCAATGAGAGAGACTGATACTGCTTTTGACAAATGAGAAAAGGAGGTTTTTCTCGGTTTGACTATTAAAAAAAAGAGGTTTTACCAGTTAGATTTTATAGCTTTAATTCAAACAAGTTATAGGTTCACACGAATGCTTCGTTAGCCAAAAGTAAAAATATAAACATTTTATATTTCAGAAACTTACACGGCATTTTCCGCATATGAAATGCATGCAAATACAACGCTACAGGATTCTAAGGATGAAAATGAGAACAAAGCAAAAGAAGATTTTTATTTACCATCGCATATGTACAAACAGCCAGACTATAGGTAGGACAGTATTCAGAAAGTTTAATAAAATTAGAATCACAGTTTTCTTAAATTAATATTATGCAAATAAACTAAATGTGGCTTCTTATAAATTCAAAGTTGAACAATTTTATCAAATCTTTCTTAAGCCTAAAATGTATTTTCGATTTGCAAAAATATATTTTCAATTAAAAAGATGCTCAAATTTAAAAGCAAACTTTTTTGAAATACCAACATCTACTTGCAAGGATGATATGGATTAGATCGAAATATTTATCCTTAATATGTTTTTCTCTTCAAATGTTGAGTTTAGTACTTATAACAGTACATAACAGGACTTATCTTGCAATGATGTCTATTTCTTTCAACAGATTAAATTTGAAAACATCACAATGTTTGATATAAATCTTAAAAGTTAAAATTAGGGTTTCCGAATTTTCTTTCAATCTAATTTTCGTTCAGCCAACGAATATGTGAAAAAAACGAAATGTTTCTTTAAAAATTTTTCGCAACATTTTCAACCTTTCCTTCAAAATTTTTTTTTTTTTGCAAAAATACAATCTTCGTGATACGAAATGGAAAAATTTCTATTTTTATCGAACGAAAATTTAACGAAAATTTAACGAAAGTTTAACGAAAATTGAACGAAAATGAGGTTGAAAATTTCGTCGAAAATACATCGAAATTCACGAAGATTTTGAACAAAATGAGCAAATTTCGTTCGTTCATTTTCGCAAATGTCATTCAGCGAAAATTTTTATGACCCAACACGATTTTTTCAATGCTTGAAAAAATTTACGGAAACAGAGAAAATTAAATCAAGGCAAAATTTAAATTAGTTTTTTTTTATGTTTAGATGTCTAAACCCAGACAGCAATGAAGATCCAACTAAATGGGGAGCATATAATCCAAACCAATTTGCAATTGCATTATCTAAGGAATAGTATGTTTCTAATAATTTTATGCAATCTGAAAACTTTCTAAATTTTATATTCCACAATTTTTGAAAAGGAATCTGTGATACATTAGCTATGTTTTAGAAGGAACAAGAAAAGGTAATAATTTAATATTAATGTTTCTGAAAGAGAGTTTTTGGAAGTGACTTTAAAGTGTTCTTCTTATAAAGTATTTTTTAACCATTTAACCAAAGAGAATAGAATATATATTAGAGTGGAATTTACTAGAAAAAAAGTGTAAAACGGACATTTTGTTGTACTGTTTTCATACTGCAGGTTTACTTCACATATTTTTGCTATATAACCTTTTGGGCCCTGTAATATCATTTTATAGAAAATCTAAAATTAATATTAAAAGAAAACCAAATTATGAAATAGGCTGGTTTCATAATTGACCAATGATCATTTCACTTTACAAACGATGATTTTCCGTTATAGCTATAAATCAAATGATGTTTTTTATTCACCTAATTCATTATACAGTTTATTTAACAGATTTAAAAATTCGAAATTGAAATGAATAGTCTAGGGAACAAACTGTATTAATGTACTCTACTGCATATAATTTGTGAACATTTACATGATTTGTACACTTTGAACTCCCTTTCAGAATGAAAGGGACTGAAAAAATTCATACCGAGAGATTCTCTAAATTCCCCTCTAATATATATTCTATTCTCTATGCATTCAACCTGTAAAGCCATAATCTGAGTAATTGATGATGTGTTAATTTTCTAAAAAATTGAAAATTTTAGGGGTTTCCAGAGAGTAGCAATTTAATTTAAAAGGGTGGTTTTAAGAGCTACTGAAAATTTCAAAGTAATCATTTTTTGTCCCAAACTCACCCCTTTTCTCTGCTAAATACATCCTCATGTTCCTTTACAAAAACGAAAAAACAAGATTAAAAACTATCTGCATTTTGTAGAGAACAAAATATATATTAATCTCACTAAGCTAAAGGTTTGAGAGCAAATATATGTAACTATTTAGATAAAAAGAAACTTAAAATTGTGCTGACATGACATGACACGATACGATGTTATTTTTTAGGTTACCACCTACCCCTTCAACAACAGATTTTTGAACTTTGAGGACCCTGAGGTTTTAAAGTACATGACTGGAAAAAACAAAACTCAAAAATGGAGGGAGGTGTTTGGATATGATTTTGCATCAAAACAAGGCGATTCAGGAGATGTAAGTTGTTAATCCTAAAAGGCTTAGTGGTAAGGGTGAATTATTTGCTGATTAGTTAACCCAAAACAGGCCCTCTCAAGGATATTTTGCCCTAGCACTTTCATTTCTGAAACTACACCTTGAATTTTGTTATTCTTTTAAGAAATAGTAATTTAAGGATTATTTTGTAGCAATACTTTTTTAATGCAAAGGGTTTGCTCCACGATGGTAAAAAAGACCGGTCGATCTGTGTTAAGATAGGTTCAGATCTTAGAAAGCCTTTATGGGGTTGACTTTGAAAGTAAAAAGTCTATATCTGTTTTATGCTTTTTAAATCTTAAACTTCAATCTTTGATCAACTCTCACATTTTCTGACTTATTTTTCTTTTCTTTTTTTCTTTCTGAGACCGAATTTAAAGAATTTAAGTTGCGGCAAAAAACGCCAAAACCCAGTTTAGATTGAGCGCCGGGTTAAATCTTGAAACATTTGATACAAGTTTAAGTGAAACCAACCATAATTAAGTCTCGGCTTAAATTTAAACCGCGGCTCAAATTCTTTAAATTCAGCCTCTGGATACAAATTTTAAATGTGAAAGACCTCTATGTGAAATTATTGCAGAATAAACCAAATACAGTAAGAAACCGTATGTCCAAAAAACCAAAACTAAATAAACTTATAGATATATATTAAATTTTTTTATTTATTATACAGTTATTGATTTAATATATCTAGGTTCTCAAGAATTGTATAAAAGCTGAATCAAGTAAATTTGCAAAGAAATGCAAAAAAAGAGGAGGACTGTTTAAGTGCTGTGTAGCCAAGTAAGAAACTTTATTTAAGAATTAACAACAATTTTGGTTCATTTATTACGTAAATTTAGAACATAATTATGGGGTTCCAAAACTTTGAATTGGGGTTTTACAACAAAAAAAATTGAATTTAATACTATTTTTGTATTCTTAAAATCAAAATTATTGAATTCTCTCTCATCATTACATTTGAAGGTGCTAAATCAGTACTCGGTATCCTGTCACCATAGCTAGAAATTTGTACAGTAATAACCAGAAAACTCTGAAATAGGAAGAAGACTTTTAGACTCAAGTTACGACTTTAAATAGTCCAATAAGCATGGGACACAGCAATTGTGTAGTGTAACAGACCCATTTCTCTTAATTAATTAATTAAGAAATATCTTGTAAAACTATTTGCTCTATAAAAACATCAAATACACATAAGTTTCGATAAAAAGCCGTCTTTCTATTTCCGAGTTTTCTGATTATCACTGTACATTAATTTGAAATAACGTGAACGAAATGTCTTGAGTTGATTTTATTCATTATTCACAGCAAAAGAAAAACCTAAATGTAGTGGAAACAAATTCTTTTGTTAAACATTACGTATTTTAACTTTGTCTGAAAAAAATGTATTTATTTTTAATGTTACCATGCAGAAAACCAAAAAAAGGTTTTCCATTAAACTGGAATATCTTGGATTCATAAATAATCTTATTTTAGTAGATATTAGACAATTTAAAAGTCGCTACTTTTGTCACATGAAGCCCATGTTTTTTAATAAATAAATTGTCACTCAAAACTGTGTTTGAGAAAGATGACATAAAGGGAGAGACCGGCTGCACATGGTAGTTGAGCTGAAAGTGCATTATTGTTAAGAAAAACTTTAGGAATCATTTGATACCAATGAGACATTTTAACTGTGTACACTTTTAATTAAGAGCGTGCAGTAGTTTGTAATATTTCACAAGTGGTTTCAGTCAGGAAAAGAAACTTTTTTACAATTATTTAATAACCCGGAAAAAACAAGTAAAAATACATATTTTAACCAATGTACACTGTTAGAAATGCCATTTTGTAAATTTTCAATATCATCATATTTCAGGCCAATATAACCAGTATATAGAAGACATTCATTGATATATCGTTTGAAATTTGATGTTTTCTGGTCAGAATGATTTTACTTGAATTAGCCTAAACACTAGTTGATATAAGTAAAATTAGAATCACATCAAATTTTTAAATGAGAATTGAGAGAAAGCAATGTCAGTATTATTCAAGATACTTTAAATACATACATTATTGATCTCTGTTAGAATTTACTTGAAGAGAGTCAAATTTTAATTGAAGTAAGCAGAATTCTGGTTAATGCAGAATCCAAGTAGTATTCTGATTGAATTGAGTGCCGGTACGTGTCTGAACGCCGGATCACTGTAATTAAAGTAAGCAGGATTATGCTTGCTTCGATTTCTGATGATTGAAGTAAGTAGAATTCAAGTGAATGTAATTAGAATTTAGCGTACAGGCCGTAAATTTATATCAAGCAGAATTATCGTTGATATATTACAACGGATCTTCATGGCTTGGTGCGTGAACTAAATACTGTTGATTGTAAGCGGGTTTTTCTAACAGTGTATTTGCTGTCGAAGAACATATTTTTAAAAGAAATTATCAATGAAAGCCATTGTAAAACTGTAGAATCGATTATTTCATCATTATCATTACCTTTGTTGTTTCTATTATTTTATTCGTAGATTTCTTTAAAATGTCGTCTTTACAATTAAAATAAAGAACATCTCCAACAAGCGACCCTAGCTGAGAGAATTTGCAGAAACCAGCGAGATTTTAAAATGAATTTTAATAACTTATTTTCAATGATATAAGTTTATTATTTTTTTAAACCTGTTTGTATACATACATGCAACTAATTCGTAGAATAGAATTTGTTACATGTTTTGTCCATGTTATTTAAAAATTGTAAAAAAAAATGTTTTACTGCCTGAAGCAACTGCACTGTTAGAAAAACCCGCTTACAATCAACAGTATTTAGTTCACGCACCAAGCCATGAAGATCCGTTGTAATATATCAACGATAATTCTG